TTACAAATATCTGAAAAAGTGATATACATTTGGGAGGAGGGAGGAACAGATAGAGACTGACTTATGTGGCCTGCTTGCGTACGTGCCGGTATGCAACTATCTTTTATCAACGACTGCTTGAAATGAAGCCACGCGTAGCAATGAAATGTGAAGGTGAACTTAGGAAATTGGGCCCCATTTTCCACAACTCTTAGCGATTCTAGAGTCAACTTAAATTTCTTAACTTCCCTCACTCTACTTTCTGAGCCATTTTTTCTACTTTCTTTCCAGATCTCCAGGCGACAGTTGGTTAATTTAACTTTACGCTTCGTCTCATTTTTTTTATCATTCTTTAAATGTTGCTGCGTTTTTTTAATTTTTTTTTTTTTTTTTTTTTAAGTTTTCGTCTAACTGACGCAGGATGCGTACAATCTTGTGTTACTATTAAAAAAAAAATACTCTAAAAATAGGTCGGTTCATTATTTGTTTGACCTATTTTTAGAGAGAGCAGAGGATGTTGCGAGCCCTTGATGTTTACACACGAATTTGCCTAGTTAAAGGACTACCGGACCGATTCGACACAATTTGAAGATAGAACCAGGTTTACGAAGAAGAAACTAAAAAAAAGTTTAGTGTGCAATTTGAATCATTTTAAAAGCCATATTTTTTATTTATTAATTTCTGTCAATGTTGATTTGGGGGTAATTTTAATTTTATGCTATTGCCCGAGTTGGTAAAATTATGGGAGAGTGGTTTCCGCCAGTGAGCACTCACCAACTCTAGATGCAGAGTTCAAATTTCGACTGAAGATGCTTGTATTCATTTATACAATTGTGTCCAATTATAGGATATAAATTCCTACATTTTACGGCCAATGGACTAAAGAATGTTGATAGGAATATTTCCTACTATTACCACACAGGCAAAATTTATCACAATGCTAAACATTATATCACAACAAGTGAACAACCTACACACGCATCACCACGCAGACTGCGTCCAAACAATACAAAATAGCAAAGGACGAATATGAACACATGTTGCAATTAGGCATCATATGCCTTTCAAGTAGCCCATACTCCTCTCCAAGACACGGGTACAAATTAAGTAAATAATAAACAAGTTAACAAACTACGAAGGCACACACAAAAATAGAAATTTTAAACATATCCGTTACCGCTTACCCAATATAACCGTTAGGATAATACAACAGACCTTATTACCCATACCGCACCATTGCCCAGCATATATAAAGGGTCGAGCCAAAATGCAACACACATGGCCTGAAGATTAACTTCACGTATGAAACAGACTATCACTGTTTGGTGTTGGCCTCAGTGTCTATATATATATATATATATATATATATATATAATGATTAAAACATGTATCAATATTGTGAATTCCTTTTGTCTTTCAATGATAATGTTATTAAACTTATCAGACAATATGAAAGGAACTTACTTAAAATAGACAAAACTTGTCTATATTATTTAATGAAACATGCATCAATATATATATATATATATATATATATATATATATATAAAATGGGTGCTATGGATAAATTTTCGTCATTTTATATTTTTAATTTTGGGCATACGCGTTGTTTGGTTTTTATCTTGTCGACTGCAGAGTATAGTAGGGTCAGCTGGGCACCGTCTGTGAGAGAAAGAGTACCATGACGCAATTTATTCCGCCAGAAATTTGGAAGTAGCATACTGTACTGCTTGGTATTCGCACCGGAAGCTCTAATAAAAACATTTCAGAGTGTTTCGGTGTTTTGTGGTTAGCTACTTCAATAATTAAATGCGTAAGGCTTCTTACGGGAACATTTTATAGTAGATGAAATAAAGGTGGTGATGAAGAGTAGATGCACAAAATAACAGACCAATTGATTTGCAATGCAAATGTAACATTTATTAAAACGAAATGAACAAAAGCAAAGTTTAAAACAAGAGTTTCTTTTGTTAGACATATATATATATATATATATATATATAGACGATATATTCATGAACACATGAATATAGTGGGAACTTACTTTGTTGGTATGTTTTATGATGAAGTATTCGCAGCCCTTTTAGATTCAGTGTGGAAAGTTCATGTTAGAAATTCGAAAGAGAAAGAAACCCGGAAAGAGAAACTTACTTTAGAGTTCACGTACTTTTTGTATTCGAGATCTGCTGCTGCTGATAATAATATCTTTAATGTCACTACAGGTGTCAATCTGAGGACAGTACAGAGGATTCGGAAAGAGATGATTCTAATGGAGTGATCACTAGTAATGGCGACGTTATGCCTCCATTCATCTTCCCACAGGTCCTCAAACTCGACATGGAGGCCACCATCAAATACCTTGAGGAGGTAGTGCTGCCCTGGGTCAAGGAAGTGGCTCCTGGAACTCCCAATGGCTGGCTACGGGACTCTGCACCATGCTACACAAGTAGAAGAACCCAGTCGTGGCTGTCAGACGATTTCTATGACCACACCACCGCTTACATCTGGCCACTTAACTCCCCAGACTGCAACCCCTTGATTATTGTGTGTGGGGTGCAGTAAGCGAGAGACCAACAAAATTCCTTGTAACACCAAAGATGAACTGAAGTCAAGGATTATGGCAGCCTTCACCAACTTAAACAAAGAGACCGTCCAGAAGAGCTGCAGGAGATTCCGAAGTTGTCTGGAGGCCGTGTTTGAAGCCAATGGCGTATTTTTAAAATAAATTTTTACTCTTTACTACTTCAAAATATTTTTATGTAATTTTGTTAAATATATCTGTTAAAATGAGATGTCAGTGTTATTTTAATTTTTGCGTAATTTAAACGACAATTTATCCATCGGATGAGTAGATAGCCCATATTTAGAGAGGTACGTTTTGTTTAATAAAACTTTTGATGTTCAAGGCCGGTAGATCTTTTCTTAAAATTTCAAGTTTAAAATTCAAAATCATTACAAAGATGTGATCAGTTACAAAATGCACTTTGAATTTCATTTAATTTGTTTTATTTTTGATAATGACTGAGGCCAGTCGAAAACTCCTAACATTAACAGGAACGAATATAAGTGGTGCACGATTCCTATTTGTCAGCAAAACACGAAAATTATTCTATCAACAAAAAAAAAAAAAAAACGATAAAAAAATAATACACCTAACTTGTCTGTTAGCTTCAACAAAACTAATATATATTAGTAAGCTTTTCCATTTGTGATAAATATAGTTTTTACTTGATAACAATATCACCTAACCTGGACAAATTAATACAAAATTTTAAAAGATTTAAAACTTTATAAATTATTATAATTAAACATTTAAAAAAAAATGAAAACAATTCTTGTAAAAATTCATTATTCATCAAAAAAAATGTTTTTCGTAAGACAGTAGTGTCCATGTTGTGCATAAAAGCAATTAAAAGCTTTTCTAATCGAATAAAGTCTTAGCTTTATTGCATTTTTTATTTGACGATTCAGAGCTTATTTCTATAACTGGGGGTCCTGATGATTTGGAATCTCCAAGGACTTGTGCTTATGACTAAACATTAAGCCCTACATAAAACAATTTCTTGAAATTTCACAAAATTAAATATATGGGGCATGGATGGGTAACAATTGTAAACAAATAATTTTATCAAGGTTTTCTAAAAAAAAAAAAAAAATTACAAAAATAATTTAATTAATTTCTCAATAACATCTGAAAGTTCAATTAAAATTCGACACGTATTTGATTTTTGAAAGGATTTTTCCAAATCAATGTGTTTTTCACCGCAATAAGACGCTAAAATTTTCCATACTAATTTATGGTCACCCGCTGACATAAGAAAAAAAATTAGGCACAATTTTGAAAGTTCTAAAAAGGATTAGAAAATATAATTTAATAATAATTTAAAAAAATACTCTTTGGCTTTTCTTAATAACATAAAGATTTTGACGATAAAACTTTGTTTTTATTAAGTTTGTGACATTTATTTCATCATGTATACTCATTTTTAGCGAATCTTTGGAGGTACCTATACTTATATACATTTTTATTTTAAGAAAATCTTGATAAAAATATTTTTCTTGGGCTACCGCCCCCATACTTACTTAATTTCATGAAATTTTGAAAAATTAAATTTTTATCCCAAAATTTGTTTTATTAGTTAGTTAAAAGCAGGACTCCTTGGACAATATAAATCTTTTTTTTTTCAAACTTCTACTCATTTCCCGAAAATCTCTTCAGAATTGTAAAATAAAAAATAAAAAAATACAATAAAACTAACATTATTTGATTAGAAAAGCTTTCAATTGGTTTTATAAATAAGTTATATTAAGGACACTAATGAATGAACGAATAATGATTATTTACAAGAATTGTTTTCATTTTTTTTTTAATTTAAATTATAATAATTTAATATAATAAAATTAGATTACAGAAAATATTTTCCAACATTTTTAAGATTACTGAGTACTTAAAATTTATTTAAAAAATGCGCTCACATAATTTTCTTAAATTATGTTTCACAGATAAAATGTTTGTAGAACAACAAGCAATATGTCATCACCTGTCATTTACGTAAAACTTGGCGCAGTCGGTTAAAACACACAGCTACTCTTTGTTTTAAAAATACATTTCTGTGTTATTTTCAACTTTTAATATACTGTTTAAAAATCCACTAAAAATAACGTTTATCGGATTAATAAATAAAAATGCATAACGTCTTATCTAACGACGGTTTCTCTTGCAAAGGTGCGCTATTTCGAATCCTACCGGAAGACGCATTTTTTTTAATAAGATTTCTCGAATATTCAGTGCAGTTTAGGAAATAAAATTTGATGTGTACCCACTTCACTCTGACTCTAATTCTTAATACAATATAGGGAGATTCGTCTTTGCATACGGAGACCCGTAAACTAGGCTTCTATATTTAGAAGTTAACTCGTAATAGTGATAATAATTAAAAATATTTTTCCAACTCAGCTTGGGAGAAACTCCGATTAACAATTCCGAGCCGTTATCAATTATACCACCTGCACATCCAAACTTACAGCAACTTGTATTCCCAAGCGGCCACCCATCTAGGTATTGATCAAGCCCGACGTTGCTTAACTTCGGTGATTGTACGGGAGAAAATATTTTTTTCATCTTATATTCTGAACATTTGTAGAAAAAAAATAAAAATAAAAATAGGTCTCCGACTCTCTGTACACGATAATACATGTAAACGGTGTGTGACTTGAGATCTCGTTAGAAGTAGGGAGTAAATGAAAGTGGCGAAGAGTCGACTTCATTGATGTCTGTACGAAAATCAGGTCAGCAATGAGCAGGAGAGTGTAAAATATTTTTGCGGCGTGTCTCTCGAGATAGACTAACAAAATATGCATAAAATGTTTGGATTTCGGAGTTTTTGTTTTGGTTGAAAATATACATGATCTTTCTTCGAGGAAAATCATCGCCAAAAAAAGACGTATTCTCTCACAAAACGCTCTTTGAATGTCAATGCAGGCGTCGCCTGTGTTGGCTGGGTCACGTACAGAGGCAACTAATGGAAAACGATCCTTAACGACACGCATTAATGCCACCGACCCTGACGAGAAAGTAGCAAAAAGGAATGCTAAAAAAAATAAAAAAACATCTGGTGATGGAGACTGAAACTAAGCTATCAGATTAGAGAGGTAACGAACGTAGAAAGCGAAATAGTTAATCCTATCCACAGAAGTAGAAGTCTCTCTATTCCCAGTCTACTTTAGGTAGGTACCCCCCAACAAAGATTCGCTAAAATTAGCATAATTATATAAATAAAATAAATAAAATGCCCAAAATTTAATAAAAACAAAGTTTTAGCATCAAAATCTTTATTATTAAGAGGAAAGATCAAATGAATTTTTTTTATTTAAATATTATCTGGAATTGTCATGAATGGTCAAGTGAACTTGGTTTGTTTCAATAAATATTGCATAGTTTTCAAAGTCGACCAATCGAATCGGTAAGAGGTGGAAACGGAGGAATGAGAAGTAGAAAATAAAAATCTGAAATGGGAAAAGAATCAGAAAAGAAAGAATATCAAATATGCGAAGAGAAGAAATTTTTTAGATACTTTTTAGAACCTTGGAAATTTTGATTAAAAAATTCTCTGATGTCAAAGTTATATCCATATGGGAAAATTTAGCGTCTTTTTTGCGGTGCAAAACACACTGATTTGGAAATTGTTACAAAAATCAGACAATTGTCTGATTTTAATGAATCTTTCAGGATTTATTCAAAAATTTAATTAAATTATTATTTAAATATTTCCTTTTCAGAAAATATTGGTAATTTCATCTTTTTTTTTTTACATTTGTCACCCCGACTAATATAATTTTATGAAATTTCGAAAAATTCTTTTTGTAGTGCTTAATGTCTATATTATTAATAAGGACAACTCCTATGAGAATTTGTGGTTTGACCTGAAGAGAGGTGGGTTCTACTAGGTCTTGTCTAAGACACGCTATGCATAAATGAATACTTCTCCGGCTTTCATCCCAGATTTGTGGAGGGAACTAGTCAGGTAACTCAGCCGCGCCGCGATATTGCGACCACGCCCGGTCATGGGACTGATAATAAAGATGATAATTAGTATGCAAAAACTACCGTCCCATAAACCTACTTCGTCATATATACACACGTTTTTTATGAGAAGAATACTTCAAAGTTCGCTGAAATAGCAACATTATAACCTTGGTTGTTCTAGGATTCGTTTCGATGCGCAAGACCTCAAAATTCCTTTCTAAATTTATTATATACAGCACAAAAGACATTCGTCAGTCTTTCTCCAAAATACAACTTCTTTGAAATGATATATTGTTGTTCTAAAGGGCCTGTCATCATTAAATATCGATAAAGAGCCGGAAGCAGTTGTATGGATTACAAGACGCCGCTAGGTGGCGCTGTTTAAGAAGGATCAGAATCTTACTCTTTTTCGCTTTCTTTTCTCTTTCCAACCTAGCATGCAGTAAGTAGCATTGCCGACACGATATCCGTCCCCGCTGGAGAGGACTTCTTTCCCACCGGGCGACTGACGAATGAACTTTTACACACACACACACACACACACACACGTGCGTATCACAGGCACACACAATTTCTAATAGAAGTTTTAATCTTTTTTTTTTCTTTTTCAGCTATGTACATACTAGTATATGTGTTAATCATTAATTAGTTGTATAAGATTACATGAAAATAATTCCGAGTTAAAATTTATTCCATTTACCTTTTTTACAAATAATGACAACCGTCATTCAGATGTGAAAATATTGGTTGCTTTTAGATAATGTCCGCAACACAGTAAGCTTCAAACTATAAACAATGTTCTCATTTTAATGTAGTATTAAAAGCATTAGTATAATAGTCTTTGGGAACAACAGACAGGCTGGTGTTCAGATAATTTATTCGGAAAACCGAGATTCGCTGATGTCAACATCATTCAAATCATTGCAGCAATTTGGAATTGTTACAAACATTAGAGTATAATAGCACAAGAGAACAAACGAAACATGTACCGCAGTTGAAGTGAAAGGAAAAGAAAACAAGAATTGTTAATATAAAATTATTTTTACTGCCGATACAGAAGATGAAAGTGAATGACTCTTTGTGGTCAAGGAAAGCAACTTGGAGAAAGTGTTTGATTTGAGAGATCCTGGCGTTGATGCGTGTTTCGGGTCGGCACACTGAAGACACTGGTGGTGATATTGAGAGAGGGCGATGTCAGATTAGTTGAAACTTACCTGTTCGATGCAAATCTGTGACAGTGGTTTATGAACGATGTTCTTAAAAGCAAATGTGGCGGCTCATAAAACATCTTTTTTTCACGTCATTTCTTTGACAGCAATGTTCGTGAATGGCTGACGTGCTGCATTTTATATTTTTTAGGGGATTTGTTTTCTAAGACGGATGTGATGCTCGGAGCCCCTATGCAGAGGATGACTTTTCCTTTTTAGTTTTGCTTTCTTAGCATTCACATTCAGCTGACATGTCGAGTGATCAGAGATCTAATTTGAAATAGATTATAACAGAATTCTAAATTCTAATTCTAACATTCTGGTTACTCTTTACAACTTTGGTTCCATATTACCATGCATTTTTCCAAGAATTTGGCTATGGGCTGATGTCCCGAAATGTAGCTTTATATTTTCGGATAGCGAACCGTATAACAGCGGAGAATCGGCGCAATTAAAGAAAAAAAAAGCTATTAGATGACAAGAATTTCTTGTCCTTCTCTACTTGATAAACATTTTTTCGTTAATTTACAGAAACCAGTCATTCTTATGCGCGGTTTAGTTCTGGCACTAGACCAAAAATATGAGGTAGCTCTTTCACCACTGGATAGTAATGGTCTGGTAGACAAACTTGATAACCATTAGCTCACGACAAAGCCACTTACTTCATTCCTGGCAATAAGGTACATAAGCGTGAGTGGGTGCGCATGCGCGTAATACTTAATGATCTCCTATTTCAGAATTAATGAAATCTTATAAGATTTGAATATTAAATCTTTAAATATAAACAGGGAAAAGCAACCAGATAGAATGAACATTTTACAGTTGTGTGTATATCTGTTAGGAGTAGATAGGTTCGCTTATCACCAAGTTCACACTCCTCCCCGATCCTTGTTTCCTGTTTGGGATTGGATTTCCGGTTCCTTCTAAAGTCTACTTCTAACTTCTCCACCCGAACTTTGAAATTTTATTTACTATTTATTTATATATTTCTCGTCAAAAGGAGTAGATAGTTTCGCCAATCGCCCCGTTCACACACCTCCTCAGCTTTTTGAACAGAAGTAGAGGTTTATTCCTCGTTTTGGATTGGGTTTCTAGTTCCTTCTAAAGTCTTCTCATTCTCTTTCATTTCCAGTAGCCCCCCTTACGTCTTAGTAGCATTATCGCATTGCATTTGGGTGTGTATACTGAGTGTGGAGGCACGATGGAGTAATAGTTAGCGGCTCGGAGTGAGGAATCGTGGAGCCGAGTTAGAATTCCAGTCGAAAATGTAACTTCAAAAACAAATCCACCTTTGAGAAGAGGGATGGCGCACCCTCAACATCCCTGTTGTAAAAGGAATGGGCAAGCCATTACATTGTTCTGGCTTCAATGTCACCATGAACTCAAGTGTGAGATGGAGGGGAGCAGCGCAAAATGCGCTAACTGAATAAAATTAATTTATAATTAATTAATTTATTTTTAATTTTACATTTTTATAACTTCAAACATTATTTTACTAAAGATAACATTTGAACTAACAAAAATGTCGGATTAAAAATAAATTAATTAATTCTTTATTTGCTTTGTTTGCGTTTTGGATACGAAACTGAACAGATATGGGCTTTCAAAAAAAAAATCTGAACGAAGAATTGTGCATTACTTAAAAGGCAAAAAAGAATCTTGCTGGATTGTGAAGCTCTCTGTAGCCAAACGGATTAAACGGTAGTTTCACCTACAAAACAGGATGCAGGTTTGGACCCTGCTGAAGAGCACATTTTTCGAGTGTGCCGGTCGATAGACGTAATACCTACTATTTAAAAAAAACAAAAACGGGCATCTATTTCAAACGTGAAAATAACGTTTAAAATAATATATATATATATATATATATATATATATATTATGTGTGCGTGCGTGCATGTGCATGTGCACGTGTATGCAGAGACAAAGTGAGAAAGTTATCATGGCGCACACAATGTAAAATAATTCCTATATCAACAGTGTGCTAGCCATATTATGTATATAGGATGCACTATATTATATATGTATTTAAATAATCTGTATTTCGGCAGCAATCCTTCGTGTATACATGTGTGATTAAAGCGACAGACAAAGATATTTGAAAATGTTTTAATTAACCAAATTAAAAAAAAGTAGCCTGTAATGAAAGATTTTGTCCTTAACCACTAAGGAGTTGCGCTTTGATAAGGATTATAATCAAAAGTGTTTGAATATGATTTTCACAAGTGGTGAACGAAATCATTCCAGAGACAGAGATAGACAGACAGAAGAAAAGCAGAAGTGAGTGACAGTTGAATTTTTCGAGCAGAGGAAAAAGTGACAGAAAACAATGCCAATGAATGTGGCACAATATATAGGATGTTAAGCAAAAAACATTAGTAAGGAATGCAAGTAGGTAGAAGATGAACGGCTTAACTATAAGTGTGCATAGATTGCATAAAATGATTAAAAATAGTAGGATAGAAGACAGGCTTCTTGACAGGATGCATAAAATGGAAAAGAGAACGCTCATCACAGAAAAAGAATACATAAATGGAACGGATATATTGGAGAAGACTTCCACAACAAAGGAAACTCACAATACATACAAATATTGAATGATCTGATATATGTAACTATTTTAATAATCATTTCACCCTAAGCAAGGCACTAATACCACTAAGACGCAAGGGGGTTACTGGAAGTGGAATAGAATAAGACATTAGTGAGAAGAAAGGAAAATAAAAGATCAGGCATCAGGAAGACAAAAAATGGCGATCGACGTTGTATTTAAATTTTTGAAGATCGTGGGTGGCACGGAAGCAAGAAGCCAGAAGAGAGGTCCACAGGTGAGAAGTGCAAAAAAGAAACTATTAGAGTAGAACATGCGGTTACATCTCGCTATTTAAACAGTAAAGCAATGAGACCTAGTAGCCAATGTAGTAGTACACTTAAATTCACGCGGTCTACGTACAAAGGAGGAGAGATCATTAGAACAACTGCCATGAAAATATTTATAGAAATTACAAATGGGAGCCACGCCACGGCGGTAGGGAAATAAGAGTCGAGATGTCAGGTCAGACCGTTCTTTGGATTTAGTTGAGAATCTCGAGATACATAGCCATAACATCAAACCAGATATGGCAGCAATATTTAATACACGAACGAATGGTAGATACATAAATGTGCAAGATAGATTTTGACGAGAAAAAATTTTCTGGTACGACACAGGGAACCAACCTTCTTAGCATCAGACCTAGCAATAGATTCAATATAATCTTTCCCCTTCATGTCAATAGAAAACGTGAAGCCATGAAGAGCAGTGAGTTGTTCTCGCGGAGGTTAGCATCAGCCATATTGATAGAAAGAAAAAATGGTTCTCTATGATGATTAAAGGATAGCAGTTTCGTCTTGGGGGCGTTAAAATTTACAAGCCATTTCTTGCCTTAATCAGTTAACAATTAAGGGTCGTTTTTGAGAGCAGCTACCAGTTTTAGTTTGAATGACCTATCGGGCGTATTATTAAGACAGGAGTATATAGCTGTGTCATCAGCATAAATACCAAGTTGGAAACTGATTGGAACCTCGTTGATGAAGATAAAAAGCAACGTAGGTCCAAAGATAGAGCCTCTACACTGCATTAGAAGCATGGTGGCCGTCCAACAAAACTTTCATTACTTGGTTTATTAAGATCGATTGGATTGTCAAATACCGGGCAGAGACACCATAGACCTTCTGCTTGTGGAGAAACCTGTCAAACACCTTCGAGCTTCGCCGTTTTTATCTAAAGCCTGATAGACAAATTCAGTAATAACTGTTAACACATCAGCAGCTGATCTAGAGAAATGAAAGCCACGTTGTTTATCTGAAAGAAGGCTGTGTGAAGTGAGGTGCATAACCAATTCAGGGTTGATTATAGCCTGTAGTACTTTACCAAAAAGAGGTACGAGACTAAAATGACGGAGAGATCAGAAGGGTAATCCGTTTTCTTAAAGACTAGAACCAAAGAAGAGGATTTCCAACAAACTGAACGGAAACAAAGTAGCAGGACGAGATGGTATTCTCATAGAGATACTGTCAGCCATAGACGATTTTGCGATCGACACGATTACGGAAATAACAAATGAAATATACAACAGTGGCGAAATACCGGAAAATCTCAGTAGATTTATCTTCCAGGTGCAAATGAATGCGATCTCAATTGTACAATTAACTTAATGAGCCACATAACAGAATTCTAATTCTAATGAACAGAGTTCGGAGTAGAATTAGACTGGAAATAAGTCAATAACAATGTGACTTTATTCGAGACACTATCTAAAAATGCTATATTTGTGACCAGAATGCAATCAGAAGGAGCAATACAAATGTAAAAAATATATCTATATCTATGTTTCATAGAATACGCAAAAATGTTTAAGGTGTGACACCAAAGATAAAACTTGTTAGAATAACCCGGAAGATTTACTAGGAACAAACCACCTCCATGCGGATAGATTTGAGCAAGTACACATAAATAGAAATTGAGCTTATACAAGGAGACGAGCCTAAGTGAACTAGAAGTCCTACCAGGATTTATTATGGGTAGACATAATCTTAACAACATAAGATACGCTGATGATACTGTGTTGATGGCAGGCACAGAAAGTGAACCGAATGAATTAGACAAGGAAAATAAAAGAAAGCGATAATAAATAATTAACTGTTAACTATAAGAACTGGGGTAACCCGATGTCTTCGCTATGAATAGAAGATATCAGAATGAAGCTGATACATTATTTTAACTATCCGGGTAGTCTCATAACAGACGACGGAAAATGTGACTCAGAAATCCGAAAGCGTATAGGAGTAAAGATGCTTTCAAAACCAAGCAAAGAGATAGGAAAATTTCGTTAAAAAAAAAAGAGTGCTAAACTGCTATTTAATATCAATCCTCGTATGTGACAGTGAATGCTGAACAATTTCCTTACAGATGAAGAAGACACTTTAAGCGACAGAGATGTGATACGACAAACGGATACAGAGAATACAATGAACTGAACATGTGGTCAATGTGGAAGTTTTTTTTAAGAAAATAAAAAGTAAAATGACACTTATACATGCAATCAGAAAGAGACAGTATTTCTGGGAAAGATAATGAAGAAAGGGGATCGGGAGAATTTAACACTCACAGGACACGCTGAAAGACAGGAACCTACCTAATGAATTTGTGCGAATAGATGGCAAAGTGGGGACAAAGATAGATGGTAAATAATAAAACGTTCCTTAGAAATACAAGAGACGGGAAATTGTGGAGAGCCATGGTCATCCTGAAAGGACACAAGACATTGATTGACACAAGATTGGTTGATTGATTGTTTCATTTTCTACGGCTTATAAACCATTTCCAAGAAAAATTTTTAGCTTGTAAGAATTTATTTTTAGATAATAATAGTTTAATGGTATAATTCTTACTAATTAACCCATAGCTGGGAGAGAAGAGGTGAATTCATACCTTTCCTAAGAGCACTTGCGGATACGTGAATATAACGAACCCAACGGGAATTGGAACTCGGCTCTCCGGATAGCAATTCTGTGACGTTATCCATTACACCAACCAGACATCCAAGCTTACAGCACCTGGTATTCCTAAACGGTCATCCTTCTAGGTACTGACCAGGCTCGACGTTGCTTAACTTCGGTGATCGTACAGGAACCGGTATTACAACGTGATGTGGCCGTAAGCAAGAAGTTTAACCTGTGTAACAACAACAAATCTATTTGTTTTAAGTTTATTATTTTCAAAGTTTGTTCACTGAACCTTGAAATTTTTGTCATTCGATTTGGAGAGGGGGCGCTAAAACAATGAGATCAAAGTTCCGCGCACGTACTTCGCTTATATTAAGCTAGAAACCCTAGAAGTTTTCACCCTTAAAGTCTTTGTAATTTTACAAGCTTGCTTACGAGGTCACAAAGTTCAGTAGAATCGGACAAACACACACCAGTCGATACTGGTCGTCTGTGTACGTGAATATCCAAGTGTCTTCGAGTTTGTTTTTGTTTGTTTAATTATCCGTAATCATCCGACAAAAGACCGACGCCAAATCTCAATGACCTTCATAAACTTTCTCTTAAAAATAATTAAAAAAAAAAAATCTATTTGAGCGAACGAAGTTTCTTTCCTGGCGCCACAGATGTTAAGCTTTTAAAAAAAAGAGTTTGGATTCTATATTCGGGATTTGACCCCCCCCCCAAGTAATAAAATAAGTAAAATGGTTCTTCTTATTCTATGTTATTTCTCCATCGTGAATTAACCCCACCAAAACCAATCCCCACCCCAGCCGTTAAGATTAAGATAAAAATGGATAATAAATTGCAATATTACTGTTCAGAAAGAACGATTTTGAATCCCTACGTCAACTAAAAATTAGTAGTTTTCAAAAATTTTAGCGGTACAAAATTGTATTAATTACAGCGTTAAAAACAGATGAAATATTTTTTCACAAAGTTAAGAAAAGAAAGGACCACAACTACAGTAGTTGGAACGAAAATAAAAGCACAAAAAAAGAGAAGAAAAAACACGGGGAGAGAGAGAGAGAGAGAGAGAGAGAGAGAGCGAGAGAAATAAAATGGAATAACCGGTTATCGCTCCTCAAATACCAGAGCTCGATCGCTAAATAAAAGTACTGCTCACACCGATAAAAAAAATTGACAAGAAAAATACACGCGTCTCAGTAATATTGGGTTGTCTAAAGCATTCGTTCGATTTATTAAGTAAGTTTTCTGCTTCATAAGCAAATGGACTTTTTAGCCAACCCAATATAGGGAAACGAGTATATTTTTCATAAACAAATCACATTTAAATTCAAACAACACCCATTTTTTTAAAAACTTCAAAATACAAATTCGATAATCGATCGGAAAATTAAAAAAAATAATCGGATTGTTTTTCTTTTTTAAAAAACAAATATGAAAATTGCAATTTTTCAACTTCTTCTTTGCGCTGTGTCCCTTCAGGTTGTGGGAATCGTGGCTCTCCACAACTACCTTTCCTTTGTAGCTCTGAGTTAGGTTTGTCTTTTTGCTATCCTCCCTATTCCCTATTCTACAAATCATTTACATAAGCTCGTTAGAAAGATTATTTTCGGCAACCCGCTGTCCCTCTTGCCTTCTATAGGCTATGTAAGTGTCAAATTTTCCAAGCCCTCTTTCCTCATTATGTAACCCAAATATTTCAACTGTTTCTTTGTGATTCTATGTAGAAATATCCTTTTTGTTTTGACTGGGGTTGAAACAAAATGAATGAACATTTGCGTAAAGTTAAAGAAACAATTCACAAATTCTAACCGATGTCGTAAACTAAAGCAACCAGTTTTAACAAATACAAACTCAGCCATTCAATTGACAATGATTGTACATTTTGTTAATATAATCAAAGCACCAGGGAATGAAATGTCTGAACCAGACGTTATTAAAAGAAGAAACGGGTAGAACGGTCCTGATGAACAAACATATTTCAACGTGTTAGCTCTCTCAGTCATTCATTCATTGCTATCTCTTAACTAACGCGCGTGCGCACGCACGCACACACGGGAGCTTTTTTTATTCAGATAAGATCATAAGACACACTTATAGTTTCTTTCAGCAACAAAAGGATTTTTTACAATTAGTGATCACATCTACAAACATTTGTACAGCTGACTGACGAATTGTACATTTTTAGGACCTTTATTTTGAGATTTTTTTTTGTTGCTATAATTAACATTTTTATGTCGTTATTTTAAACTTAAACCATTTTGGCATGAGGCCATAACTTTCAGTCGTGTTTCAGCAGTCAGACAGTTTCTTTCATGCAGATGTCATTCATTGGGTTGATCTTCGTGATGATTGTACAAAAAGGGAACTAGGTGTGCAAAATGTAGCTCAAGGGCAGACACTACAATGTGACTTTGGTAGTTCTGTCAAGCTGCTGACATTGAGGAAGCATTGGCTCTTTTCTTTAGGTCTTTTCTGACACGAACTTTGGATGACGATAATTTAGGAATAATGCTAACAAACTATATATATATATAAAGAAATATGAAGAAATATAGTCTTAAGATGTGCTATATGGGATAAAGTGCTCAATATCAGAGATAGAGCGTGTGTAAATATAAAAGTGAACATAGAAGTTAACACTTAGAGGCGACAGTCTGTTTCATGCTAGATGCAATCGTCAGACCTGATATATATATATATGTCTATGAGATAACGATATATATTTTTATATGTCAAGAACAATATTGGTAAAAAAAATGTATGGCAAATCGGAAACGGTTTTGGGGCGCGTTTCGTCCTTTAGGACTTCATCACTTTTTCCACTTTGTCATATATATATATATATATATATATATATATATAATATGTGGTGCAGTTTAATTTATATTACAATGAATCATTCATATAAAAAGTTGAAATCAGGGAAGTTAATGATATAAAATGGCGAAATCCCTATATATATATATATATATATATATATATATATATATATATATATATATATTTTTTTTTTCTGAGATGAGGTATTATGCACATTATTTACATTATTCGAACTATTGTCCTCATCTTTGTTGCCATATTTATCACAACGTTTCGGCCGCTGTACGCTCCGGCCTTCTTCAGGTAGTTGGAATGTCGAACTGAACCCTTTATTTAAAAATTAAATAGATTGAAAGATCAGAAGGTGACGCACAAGGTTCATCACCCACCAGTGAAAGCAGTAATCAACATCAGCCAATATCAATTGTTAGTTGCCGCGGCTCTCTGTGCCACCCTCGCTTCCTTGTAAATATAATTGACCCATTGATCGGAAAGTCATCTTCATATGTCCGAAACTTCGTCCACTTCGTGGAAATAATCAAAGATGCCCCCCATCCTATCCAACTAGATGGTGATCTTGGACGTGGTGAGTTTGTTCACCAAGGTACCCCTGGAGGAGGCACACTCAGTAGTCAGAGACAGATTGGCGTCTGACTCATCCCTAGGAGAACGGACCAGTATTCCAACAGATAACCTGATAAAGATGTTGACTTTCTGTAACAAACAACACACTCCGAAATGGGATCACAGATATATCGACAGGATGAGGACTTAGCAATGGGCTCACCATTATCACCAGCAATGGCGAATATATACATGGAATACTTTGAAGAAATGGCATTAGAATCTATATCTCTAAAGCCAACTATATGGTTAAGGTACGTAAATGACACCTTCATACTCTGGCCACACCAGGAAGATGTCCAGGTTCTACTGGACTATGTGAACTCAATAAGACCTTCGATACAGTTCACGATGGAGCAGTGGCGTAGCTAGAGTAAACGTCACCCGGGGCGGTCCGCTCAAATGTCACCCCAATGACCCCGATTCACCCTATGCTGAATGGTTAGCTGTAGCTAAATTTTCATACATGCTCTACCTCTACTTTACTCTACTGACCGGTACGTTACTGTTTACATGTATGATCCAAGACAAAATCCAATACCACAAAATAATCAGTTCAAATCAAAAGATTTTTAAAATGCAACTGTTCACTTTCAGAACAACTAAATACAAAACACAGCAATACACAAAAGAATGACATTCGATACTATGGTCTTAGAATGAATGTTTTCTTGTTTTCATTGTGGCAAACTGGTCAATGACATCGTCAAAATCTGTTTGTCTTGTAAGCTCGTTTTCAATGGACAGCACAGCCAGATCCGACAGTCTCAACTAGCTCATGGTTGACGTAATTTTCTGTTGCTAATTTTTCGGTGTCCAATTTTCCGTTGCATCATTTTCTGGGTACCATTTAATTATCAATGATGTTTGAAAGTATTTTTCTTGACAAAAATGTTCTATTTAATTTTTAAGCATTTTTCAGAACATTGTAAATCAACTGCATTTTTTAAAGGTTACCTAGAGAATTTATGCAAAGTTTATTTTTTTGTTTTTCTTTATACAAGTAAAATAAATTTACATCGTATTTTGATGTTATGATTTTAGTTTTAGTGATAATTTAATAACAATAAATATTTATCATTAGTACCAATAATGGAAAATTAAGTTAAAAATTTAAAGAATCGTTTTGGAATCGGAAAATAGGCACAATTTTTCCGATTCCGATACCGTTTCCGATACCCCAAAAAGTTCCGATTTTTCCGATTCTCGATTCCGATTCCGATTAATCGTCCCAACACTAGTAGATATATTCAAAAGTATATCGCTCACTCAATGGAAAATTGTATCTCAGCGAATTGATACACAGGCAAGACTGAAATTGTTGCACTTTTGGCTTCGTATTTCGCTTTGTTGTTATTAATGATGCAGAGTTAAAACACCATATCATCCGATAAAATGTTACAACAATGTCTCTTGTTAGTAACCAAGATTGTAGCAACTGAAACACATGAAAGCTGAAAACACTGCTATTTTTCCTACTCACAAATTTCCCGACAATTTATTAGAAAATTTCTGACGGGGGGACAAAACTGGGGGGGGTCATAAATTATTTCTGGAGGGTCATATGCCCGCCTACGAAACCCTGTATCTCCACCACTGTTTTCAGACTATTTTTGGCACCTTAGCCTGGTTGAAAAATTTTGTTGGGGGTGACACCTGTGCTGGCACCCGGGGCAGTCCGCCCCCTCGCCCCCGCCCCCTTAGTTACGCCACTGCGATGGAGAAAGAGAGTAACAACACACTCCCATTCCTGGATGTTCTA